GGTTCAGCAAATCGAACAGGTTCCCTCCTCGTAGAGGAATCGTTTACTGACCACGTCTCTAAGAGCACCGTCATGCTTTTCAAAAACCAACAATCATTGTGTTTTTGAACATTCAATTCTATCGATGGGCCAGCAATGTGAACCTGATTATTGAGAAACGGAATATTTGAAAAGTATGGAAACCCTGGACGACAATGCACAGTCAGGCCAACATATTTTGAACTGCTTAGTGATTGAGGTATCCAGATATGGCACATGTTTTTCACCAGCCAAAGGAAAATTGCTTGTATAAGACTGGCAGGAGCTTGTGCCTGCACTCCGCTTGCGTAGGGATCAGCTGAAGATAGCCTAAAGCTTGATCCCAACTGGAGGTAGTGTTGGTAAGGAAATCACATCATCAGCAGAGAAAGCTAGAGTAGCTTTCGACAACCCGTGGCACCACCAACTTTTCACCATAGGAAAAGCATCTATTTCACTACTCGTCAGTAGCATTCAACTATTCATTGAAATGCGAACGTTTTCCTTACTTCGGTTGATCACGTTGGGGGCACGCACGTGCCCTGAATACAAGTACAAAAATTTTACGATCTCATTTAACTAACCAGGACTGCTCCCCCTGATTGTATCTTGCACTTAAACGGTGGGGATTAATTCGACCCTCTTTGTTAAAATACTGACTTTTTAACATCACTTTTAAAGACTGACACCAATCAAAGGTTATCAAGGGACAAGAATAATAATAATAATAGGGAGTATTTGAAAAAGGAGATCACAACTAGGGTGATTTATACGAATTTTGTGAGCTACACAAAATCATCTGATTGCGACAGGTTTGTTTCCTATGTATGATGCTGAACCAATAAATTACTCATTCTAAAACAATCGGTCACCTGATCTAACACTAAGGTGAAAGTAAAAGAAACTGTCTTTGGCAAGGAAGGAAACGCAAAAAAATACGAAACGTAAAATGCCAGACCACGTGAGTAATTCCATTATGAGCGAAATTAATCAAGAAGGATGGAGAATCAATGTTAATTCAATGGACAGTGGACAAACGATTTAGGTTAGTGTCAAAAACGTACTAAAAAATTTGGATTCCGAACCCGGGCATCACAATCACAACACAAATTTAGTGGCAGTCAAGTACGTTGTTTTCCAGCTAGATACTTTAGTCATCCCACCAGGACCTCGTGTGGTTCTCCCCTCAGTCTCAGGATTTGAGTTACCGTAAGAGAGCAACGGATGCTCTTGACCATAGAGATAGTCCGTTCTACACTCTGTCACACAATGGTGAGTAATAACAAGAAGCGTCAGAAATCATCTGAGCACTCGAACCATAAGAAAACCGTAAATCGGTCAAATTAGCATTACAAGGTATGAATCTGATAATTTTGTGCAGAAATCATTAGATGAAGCTGTGTTACGTCTTGAGGTGTCCATGTATAACAGTCACTGTCGCAATATGACGTTGAGTTGTGCAAACAATCGGAAAAACGGGTGATTATCGGTTCTTTTCTAATAACTCGTAATCGAGCATGCACCTGTTAATCCGAATGATTAACACCACTGGTAGGACAACAATAACCGAAAGGAAAATATCACCTGGAAAGGTAGCAATTGTAAAACAGATAAGTGCGATTCCGTGTACTATCCAATGTGTTAATATTGTTTCACGTTTCACAACTCAAAACAGTTATCGTTAGGTATCATTTGCTGTCTGACAAACTCGATTGCTCTAAGTGAAGTACGATACGGACATATGATAAAAATGTGGAAGGAATAATGGTGAGGTAATACTCACACTTGTGAGTATTTTGGACGCTCCAAGAAACGGCTGTTGGATTCCCAGGGCATCAGCAAGCGCATTAAAAGATTTATCTTTGCAACCACGGAAGAGATAAACAGACTGTCGGGCTGGCGATCACCGATGAAGAATTAACCACGAAAATACTAACCAATCGGTGGTAGACGGCTCTGTCGTCGCCCGGCTTATTACCATGCCTAGTCTACTGGAGCCTTATGTGGTCCGCCACTCCAAGTTTCAGGATGATAGTTGCCAGTTTCCTCACAACATAACCATGAATATACAAAATCACGTACTCTCGCTCGCTCTAGGCACTCAGACTGTAAACAAGCACTCATCACCCTCACCAACATTCGCGGACTGAACCGCAATATTGACTCTGTACATCATTTTCTCCAATCTTCCTCTCCACTCGTTCTTTTATTGACCGAAACACAAAGCTCCCCTTCGTCAGATACCACCCACCTTCAATTCCCCACCTACGTTCTCCATTCCTCTTTTCTACCCAAAGCAGGTGTCTGCGCCTTTATTCACCAATCAGTCACCGCCTCCAGGATCCTAAATCTTGACTTTCCCAATAGTGAATATCAGCTGATGTGGCTGAAACTCCGACTTCCTTCCTTTAATCATTACTTGTGTGTTCTGTATCGTTCCCTCAGTAGCTGCAACTCTTCCATCTTTCATTTTCTACCTTCGAACATTGAACATTTGTTTGCAACCGATCCCAACCGCCGTGTCACCATCTTGGGAGATTTTAACGTTCACAATCACAACTGATTGATACATTCATCTGATACTTCTTCTTTTGGGCTCGAGGCCGAACATTTGGCTTTGGTCAACAACATGAGCCAACTAGTTGACCTCCCCACAAGTGTCCCTGATCGAGCTGGCGATCGTGCCCACACCCTCGACCTAATTCTCACTTCGGTCCCTTCTTTCTTCTCAGATATTGGTCCCCTCCTCTTGGCACATCAGATGACTGTATTGTTTCTTGTTCTCTTAGGTTTTCAAACCCCGAGCCATCATCCACCCCAAAACACACTCTGAGGCTACAAATCAGCCAACTGGGACGGTTTCCGTGATTTCCTAGCCGCTTATCTCTGGAGCGATTGCTGTTTCTCTTCGGATGTTTCCAAATCTGTTTCCAACTTCACCGACATTGTTCTTCAAGGTATGCATCTTTTTATTCAGTACTTTTCCGAACCCCTGAGTGGTTTACCCATGTATGTGACCATGCTGTGCGCCTGAAACATTCAGCCTTTCGTCGCTGGCGAAGCTCTCTAAAACACCATTCGTTCTTCCCCATTTATCGTGATTCCACCCAACTGCGTTCCCTAAACTCTGTTTCCCTTCTTGGATTGCCTATACCTTCTTCTTTATGCTGGTCCCCTTCTATAGCTAAGCTTGCTTTTCGTGCTGCGCGCAAGGTTGGATTTCTATTTCGCGCCAGACGTTTTTTCACCCCAGCTCATCTTTTACTATTGTACAAAGCTCAAATCCGCCCGCTCTTGAGTATTGTAGTCACGTGCGGGGTGGGGCTTCGTCCTCTTCCCTTTCCCTCCGATTAATCTATGATCCTTCTCTAATATCCAGTCCGCAGTCGCTAGCCCATCGTCGGGCAGTTGCTTCATTTTCCCTATTCTACCGCTACTATTTTGGTTTTTGTTCTTCGGAACTTGCCTCGGCGGTTCCTCTTCCTGCAACTATTACCCGTCCATCTCGTACACAGGAATCTAGTCATCCTTATCAAGTTTCTGTTCCCAGATGTCGTACCTCTCTACTCCAATCGTCTTTTTTCCCCGAAATGCCAAACTGTGGAACACCCTCCCCCTTGTTGTTTTTTTCCCCCAACTTACAATCTTACACTTTTTAAACGCAGAATCAATGAACTGGATTTTACGTAAATGTTCCCCTACTCTCCCCCTTATAGTATGCTATTTGCCCATGGGGATTTCCCCGTTTACTGTAATTCACATTGTACAATAATCAAAAAGATATTTTGTTCTTTGTTACCTCCTTTATTCCTATCCGATGTTGTTCATCGAATAAATAACTAATAAATAAGTAACTATCTTGTGGATTTATAGAAATGGTAGCCCTGGATAAGCTGAAACCGAATTTCCTCGTTAGAAGGAGTCTTTGTATATGCTCTAACATATGGTTCAGCATACAGAGTGAAGAAATTCGAAACGCTTTAGTACCAACAGCAATTTCTTTTATTTTTATTTTTCTTCCATTTATTGAATAAACAATGATACAATTATCAGGGAGGAGGAAGCGACCAATTAAAGGGCTGCCATTCAGCACACACAATAGGGATTCAGGCGGTGGTGGTGGGATTCTAACACATCCCCGGGGTGATAATTTGGTGACGTTACCACCGGGCCACCACCGCCCATAATGGTACTGCACGGTCAAACTAAACGGAGTCGGTGCTTATTGAAAACCACAAGGATTCTCGACTGGATGTAAGAAACAACACAGGAAATCAACCAGATGATGACATTACATTGACAAACTTACATGATACCAGTGCAGTTCTTACAACCGTTAACCACGTATCTTTGAGCGTTAGTTTTGGATGGTAGTGGTGGTAGGGGATGTTCGGACCGAGGATTCTAGCCCTCGAAAAAAAACTATATTTGAAGGGGAACCCAGCGAGTCACTAACTGAATTCAATACATCAAGATCAGTGCTGTAGCATTTTTTTCGTATGCACAGTAAAGATATGCACTGAAAGGTAGGAAAGTGCTGCACAGCTGATTCAACTTGTTGCGTCACAAGGTTGAAACAGCAGTGTTATGTATCCCAGCTTTTGCGTTAATATGGTTATTGGTGCTCAGGCGAAGAAAATCACTTTAAAATCTAGTTGATTGATTCCTCGAAAATCTAGTAATGATTATCAGTGTATTATTTTGAGTAAAGAACTGAGGACGAAAAGGTAAACAAATAACAGAAGTATTGAACACATCAAATCAAGATTTGAAAGAATACGGTAAACGGACGGAAGAATTTCTGACTAAAAAAAAACAAATAGCTAACATTTATAAGAAAATTATTGTCTAGCGCAAGGACGGACACACACACACACACAGGGAGAGAGAGAACACAGATGGTAAATTCAAACTTCTCGATCACCCGCAGCGGTCTTCGTACAGGAAAGAGAACGATGGAGCCTAAGGAAATGATCGCTCACCTTACCAGTGGTGCAAGTTGCAGACCATGGAAGAATAACCGGAGAGTCCATGCACGACAAGTTCGAGGAGGATCCACTCGGACTTTTTGATCCAAAAAATACCAAACCAAACTGAAACTAGTCATGATCAAGGCCGGGACGAGCATCAAAGTGAGAGTCAGGTATGACCAAATGTTGTCTCCCTGTAACGAAAAAAAACAGCAATTGTAATAATGTTGATTGTGCATAAACGTACTAACCAGTCAGTTAGATCATAGAACTCACCTAGTTAAAGAGGGGGATAAAATAACCCGAGTGAGTGTAACAAGACAAGTGATAGAATACGAGAACTACTTTGACCCAAAACCTAATGAGTGATACATAACCTCGAGAGTTGCACAACAACGCATGTCATTAAATGTAATAACAACGTCCCTTATTCACCGAATATCTGCTCCAAAAAGCATTAATTAGCGTACTGAGATCTGGCGTGAAGTTCATATAAGCAGACTACAGATGATGCAAGATACACTATGCAGCTTTGCAAGTGAGTTGGTTCGAAGGGGCATGTGCTGTAAGATTGACAGCAGCCAAGGATTAGACCCTAAGAAACGAAAGGTTTGTCAATTTTGAAAGTTGTTCAAGATTGCAGAATAAAACCGTAGCAACATTGGTGTTCCAACCTGCGTTCCGAAGTTGCATAAGAGCTGGCGTGATGAAATCTCTCAAAGCGTGATAAAATCAAGACTGGTATTGGAAAATGTGACATCACTGGCGGCAGATGGAAATAAAACTTTCACTGAAATAGCAAAAAATTGAACACTGAGCTCCAGAATGAAGTGAAACATTTCGATCAAAACCAGCGCTCCTTGGGGCATTAGCATGGGTCTACATTATAGAAAATCAAACACAAAAATAGGCACTATTGAAAACATGTTTGGAGGATTGATGACTGAACAACTGGTGGGTGGAGAAGAGGATTATGAGATAATTAAAGGCGCAGCAGTTACATGAGATTTTACGATTTTACACGTCGGTTTAAGACGAGAAATGGGAAAACAGCAGAATTCGAAACGATCAGGCCACTAACTTCGGTCAACAACCATATTTATTAAATACACTCGATGCCTAAGTTAAGCTATCTGGTTGGGTCTAGGCCCGACAAATTGCAGCCTTACCAAGTACGCTTTAGTGGGAGAAACAATTCACTATCACCCAGTCTTGGCCATCAGGCATCACAGCGGGGATAGACGACACTCAATCTTGCAGCATCAACTTACACTTGAATGTGCAAAGCGTATATCAAATGGAGTTACAGAACTTGAAAGTCTGTCAACGGCGCTTTGCGCACCCTCCATACAATCGAACAGACAGGCGATGTCATTGGCATGCTTTAAGTTGCACATCTTTTCTCCAGTTGCCCAATCAATACCTACATTTTGGAGACCATTTAGTGAGTTTTCCAGTATAGAGTTTACAACGAAATTGAACAGGAATGACTAAATAGGGTACCCTTGACGTTTAGTACGATCCCTACATCAGGCTGACCCAGTGAGCGGGCTTTATCGTCCCCTGATGTGCGAAGGAAATACTTCGAGGACAGACCCGGCGCATTCAGATGGCTTGTAATACTAGAATTCTGAATTTGTGTCTCCGATACGCAACAGACATCAATTCCCAAAGAGTCCATTGTACGCGCAAGATACGTCTGTTGAAACACCTGCATAAGAGTACTTACGTACTTACTCAGATTGAGATTGACGACGCTCAGAATCTGCACTTTATTTACAGAAAAACTAGTTACACTGCTATTTGGCAACGACCTTTGGTGAGTGACGATCAAGTTGTCTGAGGGAATGTTACGGGTCGAAAGAAGGGGTAAAGGGAGAGGGTTGGGTACGGAAGACAAAGAGTTAAACAAAGGTTGGGATATCTGAGCAGTAGCCCACATATCATTACCCACCCCACTCGATGTAATGGGCAGCGCAGTCCTGATTATCCTGCTCGACGACCCATGCAGTATGGAATTATTTTTTATTTGTGTCTTCATTGGGGTTTGATGGACGGGTACTGCTAGGGAGTCTAAACACTAAGCGGGAGAACGATTAGGGTTCTCGTCCAAAGCCTTTAGTTCTGATAACGACTTAACAGCAAGGCTGTGAATAAAGAGAAATGGAGACCCAATTATTTGGATCGATTACCCCTCTACCATTTTACAGACTGAGATGCCAATTCAATTCGAACCTCCAACGTGGAGGATAAGGAGACTGGACTTTGTCTGACCTCTACCCTTGGACCTTCCAGGCATGATAAGATCTCCTAGCTCGATAGAAGCCATCCTGTGTGGCTAATGGGGGCGTAGAAGGGGACAAGCCCCACAAGGTGCAGTCTGTTAGTGATGAATGAATCTACAAAGAGCAAATAGAGTTTGATAGGGGAAAATGTGTATTTGTTAATTCGTACACTATCGTCCGTTATGCCTCAGTCAGACCTGAGTGAGTTTCCTTTCATTCTTGGCCAGTACCGTCAAACAGGGTGCGTGGATGTAGACAGTAAACGAGCATTCTTATCATGTTATGAAGATATGGGAGATGTTGCAATACTGATTGTAAAGAAACAACTACCAGAAGTCCTAATAACCACATATTACAAAGCCTCAGAACTCCAAACAAAACCCAAATAATGATAAAAACCGTATGAAGTTTGCATGATTGCCGGAATCACATTTATTTCCGTTTTCAAAGCATGAAGATATCACGCTTTATTCAATATTCGTATAGATAACAGTCTATAGGATATTGCGGTGCATTCCTGTATCACATCACTGATGTGTGCTTGAACGGCGCACGCGCGCACATACACACAGTGCACCGACATTATCGTGCTCATTATCATACTTCTTAACATTTCGAACCAGCGAAGATTACCCCCATCCATCCGATTAATCATTGCTTCATTGTCCATCTTAAGGAACGCCCCAGGTTCGACTTCATTTGTATATGCAATGCGCACATTTGCAAGGCCTGTAGAAGTGCAAGTCTAATGTCCTGTCTGATCACCATGGACCAATACATTTGTAACATTCGATCATGACCGACAAAATCCTGAAACTCCGAGGGTTGATCTGAAAAAAGCGCCTTGGTCATATGGCTCTTCATAAAATGTCTGAGACGTTTGGTTACATCGTAAGCTTCGTGAACAAACAGGATACGATGCATCGCCTCAGCTTTGGTGGAAAACCAAAGAGAGAATTTATCTTCTTCAGATAGGGCACGAAGTTTGCACAAAGACGAAGTCGCTCGGTACATACTTCTGGCAGTTTTTCTTTGCGGAACGGAAGGGCGTTTCTTGATGAACCTGCAAAGGATGGGCATTTTGTGCTCCACATGGCTAACGGTCGTTGAAAACGTTTCTTGGGAAATTCTGGGCAGATTATCGCTGATGAAGCTCTCCGCGCGTGGCATGTTGGTAATTTTTCGGCACACTCCGCGGAAGATACAAATAGCCAACTAACTATGTTTAACGATTATTGATCTAAAAGATTTAAACACAGTCTAGGTCTGATGGTTAATACCATCAAACCGGACCCTGGCTATTTTATTTGATCATTGTGAATTGAGTCCGGTATTAAACTATGCTCTTCAACCAAGGTTTGTAGCCCGCTGAGTGACGAGGTGGTTTATCGCAAACATCCTGCATTGATGTATGGTGAGATTAAACAATACACGCGGGAATGCCTACAGCTGGTGCACAATCATCATCATCATCATCATCGTACAGCGAAATACAGTGAGGCGAGCTTCACTGATCTCTGCCAAACTCGCAATGCATACAAGATTAGTGGTAAAATTTAAGGTGGACAGAGATTGGATCTACTTTGAGAGAGGGAGAAGAAGGTGAACCTCTATGGTCGACACACAGAGAGCACAATCGAACTCTGCATACATACCGTTTCAAGTGTTCTGGCCTGATAAGAAATGACAACAAGAACGCCACTGCTGCCGGTTCACTGCCATATCCTTCAATGTCTCCAGCCAACTCGTAGAGTCTTTCGGACCCCATCCTGGGAGGCGTGAGACAACTTCTCTACCTAATGGTTCTGTGCATTTCCTCATGCCTCGTCTCCACGTCATCTGTTGACCTCCACGCGGTTTCCCCAGCCCGGATTAGCTACAGCGAATAAAGCGCGGTGCGGCAGACGATGGCTGGGCACGCGTAATACGTGTCCTAACCAGTGAAGCCGACAAATGTGACTTCAATGTGCCAGCAGGTTTATACCTGTTAGACTCCCAAACACACGACGACTTACCTCCAAGTTACTAACCCGTTCGCTCCATCCAACGTGGGCTAAACTAAGTAAACACCGATAGTCGAAAACCTCCAGTCGACAGATGTCTTCTACTCGCAAATTCAGGGTCTCACAACCATAAAGTAGGACTGAACGAACGATAGCGAAATATACACGACCTTTCAGCTTCAGTGAAACGTTGCGTTTACGCCAAAGGTGTTTCAGTCCTGCTTGTGCTGCTCGAGTCTTGGAAATGCGGGCGGTTATCTCTTTTGCTGCGTTACCGTCATTGGTCACGCAACTACCTAAGTAGGAAAAGTAATCCACCACAACCAAATCCTGACCATTTAGTTTCAAAGCTGGAGTAGACCACACCCAGTCCTGCAGGATCACTTTGCACTTTGAAGATGCAAAGCACATACCGAATGTGGCTACTGAACTTGTTAATCTATCAAGTGCGCTTTGCGCGTTCCCCATACATTCGAACAGACAGACGATGTCATTAGCATATTCTAAATCGCACTGCTTTTCTCTAGCTGCCCATTCAACGTTTTGGAGTCCACTTAGTGCGCCCTCCAGTATTTCGGTACGACGAAATTGAACAGGAACGGTGAAATAGGGCATCCTTGACGGACGCCGCTGCTGGTGACGAACGGCCTACTTAGATTGTTGTAAACCATTACACGACTGGAGGTCTATGGGTACAGTGACCTCAGTAGGTTAAAGTACTTCTGGGGCATTCCTTTTCGAAGAAGGGAGCCCATTAGAGCTTCGCGGTCAACTGAGTCGAAGGCTCCTTTCAGGTCAAGGAATACTGCGATCGTTGGCCGATGGTGGGTTTGACGCAGCTCAAGGACCTGATGCAACGTAGAAATTTGATCAATACATCCACGACCAGGCCGGAATCCGGCTTGCTGTTCACAGATGTTGGTCTCTCCTAAGGGCGTCAGACGTCGAAGTATAACCGAAGCTAGCACTTTGGTGACGATCGGGATCAAACTGATCCCGCGGTGGTTTTCGAAATCGTTGCGAGATCCTTTCTTGAAAATGGGAACGATCAGTGACTCGCCCCAAGATGAAGGAATGTGTTCCTGAGTCCAAATGTTGCGGAGTAGGGTAGTAATACAGCTTACGGGGTTATCTACCCAACCATGAAAAGAGAGGGAGGGAGCTCATCCGGTCCTGCTACCTTTCCTCGCTTTAGAGCTTGCATGCAAGACCGAACTTCTGCTTCTGCTGGAGGATTGCACGACACTCCCACGGAGCTTCAGTTGCAGATGAAGCAGCCTGGTTAGCACTAGGCCGGCTGAACTGTTCGCTGAAGTATTCTGCCCAGCGATCGAGTCGTTGATCCCTATTGTGAATTGCTCGTCCCCTCTTATCGCAGAATGTTTCACTAACGGCAGTTCGCCGACCTCCCGTATTGCGTATTAGTCTGAACAGTCTTTGAATATTTCCAGATGCAGCTGCAACTTCCATTTCACTAGCTATTGTTGCCCACCACTTCTCACGGTCCTTCTTGAGGCTCTTCGTGAGCAGACGTTGTAGATGCCACCTAACTCTATTTTGATCCTGGAAGGTCGGGATTTGTCGTTTTTCCCCCATAAAAACTACTGACTCCTGAGATATCCAATGCCTCTGACGGGTTTGAGGCTCAAACCCGCAAGCAACAATCGCTGCGGAATGCATTGCTCGTCTAACCTGATCCCACGGCTCATCTAAATCACAATGTTGAGGCGCGCTTAGCGCACGCACTAGCTCTGATTCATGGTGTACATGAACTGATGGAACAGATAGCCGATGATGAGCTACACGAATTCGCTCAATTCGTCGCCGGCCAGTCAGTGGCAGAGTGCACTGCTTCAAAACTAGTGCATGATCAGACTATACCCACGTGGTCCAAAAGGACCTACAATTATGCACTGAGCCACACCAGTTTCAGTTTTCACTTTGTACAACCATTACCAGGCATATTCGTACGCCGCTTTGGGTTGCCATCTTTCGGCTGCCCATTTGGACAAAGAAAACGAGAAAAAAGGAAAGTTGAAAGTGGAGTCGAACAGAAAATGCAGAAGTTCAGTGGATTAATGCTACAGAGAAATTGATAAGATGCACGAACGCCACTGTTTGCGA